CCCTGTCCTCTCCACGACATAGCCTCTCTGTCACCCTGTCCTCTCCACGACATAGCCTCTCTGTCACCCTGTCCTCTCCACGACATAGCCTCTCTGTCACCCTGTCCTCTCCACGACATAGCCTCTCTGTCACCCTGAGTTTCAAATATTTCTGCCTTGTGTATACCAAACCGTCAATGCCACCACATCACAACTTTTAGGTATTACAGAGACTTGAACGCCTTCAATATTGATTTTATGACTTTAACAATTTCTCAGTTTTTAGTTGGCATGGAAACTAGATTTTAGTGGAACTTTTTTAAGCAAAACCACATCCAGTATGTTTTATTAATAGACTATAATGACCAGTCAATGGCGTGCACAGGAAATGTCGGTCAAAATAAAGGTTGCATGAAAAAGAAATCGATGTATATCGACAGCTGAAAGCTACCGATGACTTTACACTGTGCTATTAAGATGTCGCGGAAGTTCGGAACATTCTGTTTAAATGTTGTCAAGGGACTCGAAACATACATAACTGTGTCGGACTAGACACTAAAACTGATTGGATTGGCAGAGTTCATCAACTGGAAGTGGATAAAGTGGACAGCATGCCATCTTAATTAGAACAAAGATACATGTGTATCTCTACCATATTCTATATAACTGATATCACCGAGCGCCAGAAGCGAGGTAGACAGATATCTTGACGCGGTCACAGTGCTGGACACTGCCGGACATTGGGTCTATCCACAATACAGTGTAGATGACCAATAGTTACCATGCTGGATAAAAAGCTCTTCTAAGACAAGTTAAGATGCCTGGTCGCCGCGCTAAGACAAAACAGTAAGTTCAGCAATACCTACGAGAGATAAAGTTGCACCCTTTCCCCGAGATCTCTGCATGGAGGCTTATTTTATATTTGTAAGAGTAACAGAAATCTGGTGTAACAAGTTCGTATTTCGTTAGGTCCGTACTTAACCATTTCCCCTGGCTTGCCAGTGTTAAAGTGCCCTATGTCTGTCTAGATCAGTCGTTAGACACGTCATGTACAATATCATAACACATGAAAACATGGGGAATCAATTCCTATTAACGCAAATAATACACGTCACTGCGTGAACTTCTCAACCCTGTTTAAAACTTTGCAGGATGTCACTTAAACACACTAGACACACGTCTGTTAACCCTCAGATATCGCTTGACCATGAAACCCAGGAAACTCCCCTGCATTAATAATTTGTAGGTGTCATAGTGACCAAACTTTTGAACATTTCACGGTGTGTACCCTGTATGTCTCTCTTGAGTGCGACATATAGCTTTCATTGTGTTAATTAAGGTCAGGCGCTTACAACACCAAGGCAAATATTTAAGCAGTTTTATAATCCACTCCGCTGAGAGATTAACTCTACATATGAAACCATGCAGCGTTCATGTGTTCAGCGTGGGAGGTGTTCGTGACAGCAATGATGCCTGTGTGTGCAATGTAGGTAAACTATTTTAATATCGTGGAGCTTTTGCATAATTTAATTTGAATCTTATTGACAGATAAGTGGTGGAGGGAGAGAGTCTTTGGCCTGAAGTAATCCGTGACACGGGATTTTCATTTTCGATATTTTGTCCCTTAATATCCCTTGTTAACATCAGCTGGTTCATGCATTCAACATAATGTATTCGAAATTTCCAACAATTTTTGTGAAAATTAGTCGTCTTGATAGAACTGTATTTCCTTCTCTTGGACAAAGTACACAGGTGACAGTTGACTGTCCACATACACGGTACTTCACTGTATATACTGTATGCCGCTAGCTTGGGCATTATGGACGTCATTACTGGTTGTTAAAAACGTTATCACCCTCCTTAGATTCCATAATTGCTGTATGACACAAATATTACATATGGCTGCAGCTACAGATCATCTGCGTTAAATGACTGTGTAAGAATGTCTGTGAGTCTGTGTATGTCATTTATATCCATGTTTTTTAATCATTCTAACATTTCACAATGTCAACACGAAAACGCTCAGTACTATGTTGGTCATTTATATCAATGTTTTCTATCTCTCTTAGATTTGACAATGACAACATGAGGGCCGTCAGTATTATGATGGCGGCAGTTGCCATCGTGGTCATCGGTTCGCTGGCCATTGCATCCGCTTCCAGGGACGCCATCCCCTCTTCTACAGTAGAGGTCAGTATAACAATCCTTACCCTGGTATATCAATATAACAACCCACACCCCGGTATATCTATATAACAACCCACACCCTGATATATCAATATAACAACCCACACCCTGGTATATCAATATAA